CTTGGAACATAAAGAAATTTGTGTGGTTTTTCTTGGGTGAATAAGGTTTTAAGATTCTGAATTGTTTTGAGGGAAATGTCAGCATCGGCTAATATCTGTGATACAGAGTGGGCAGCCTCTTTCTCACTACCCTGGATATCAGTGGTATATTGAGATTTATTTACATCTACTTAAGTAAATAATTGAGTTATGTATTGTTATGCATGGTTCTAGAGTGTGCACCAGTAGCAGAGCACCTAGAGCAGTGATATCAGCAGTAATATGTGAGTACCCTGCCAAGTACAAAAAGTTTCTTGGGAAGTAACTGGGAAGCTTTGATTTAGCCTGAGCCTCTTTTTGAATGCAATGGTGAAACTGGATTTCAGGTGTAAAACAACTCTGAATATTTAACTGGATTAATGTTTAAATGTAAAGTGACTATAACATAAAAATTCTATTATTAGAACTAATATACATTATTTCTAAACTTCTAAAGGTTTACTGAGATTTACTTTTCAATTAACTGGTACTAAATGCTGTAACTGGGACCATGTTATTGAAAAGTATTTTTGTCATAATGATGACATCTGATGACAGATGTTTTTAGTGCATTAGTATTTAAGAAAGTAAACACCAAAAAGAGCATAAGAAGTAGAAAAATGTAACTGTTCATTGCTGTGTCAGCTCCTTCTTCAGGGTCTAACACTATATACATATATATCCCAGTCACTCACTGCTTGTCCCCAAATGGTCTGGGTTTGTTTTTCAAAGAGGATATGGCTGTGGAAAGAAAAACATATAACTGTCCTCAGAACACTAAACGTAAGTAAGTAAATGAGCTTGATCTCATCTGTTTGAAGGCAAAGTAGTATCATTGAGGCTTGTTCTGATTAGTGTTGGCCTCACTTCAAGGATCAGCAAAACGTGTTTGTTTTTGCCGCAGAAAGGCTGTGCATTGAATCGCTCCACATGGTCACCCTGGTGTTTATGTTAATGTCTGCTTCTCGGTTCAGAGGACAAGGTCAGTAAAGGTTTATGACTGACACTCAGGACTTAATTTGCCATCCCAGCTGTGAATATCTCTCTGAGATGGGAGATAACAGTGATGTCTGTACCAGAGAGCAAGAGGGTCTGGGAACACCCCTGCGGCCAGAGGGGCCAGGCAGTACCTCACAACTGGGGAGGGTTCCCCTTCCCCAAAGCGCTGTGGGTGCCAGAGCCCTTTTGGCAACAGTCTCTGCAATATTGCCTCTCCTGAGCCGTGGCTGGAGATTGGGGAAAATAGTTGTTGGCCCAGGCCAAGAACCTGCTAGTGACTGTCCTAACAGCTTAGCAGTACAGACAGTCACGTGCCAGATCCAGGGACTTCTCTTGGCACCATCTGATTTACTGCTATGGGTGTAGCCAATATGTGAATGAGACTGAACAAGAGCGACATGCAAAATCTGTTCAAGAGGAAGCTTAAAATGTTGACAGATTGGGGTAATTTTTTTTCTTGCATCTGGAATTCATCCTTTTTTCTTTCTGCTGTGAATAAATCTCTAAGGCAAAAGTTAGGAGATGCTGATTTCTTCTGTAGTAACACTGCTTTTGGTCTTAATATTTTCTTAGATTTACAGGGCTACAAAATACATGCTTTCCTAAACATGTTTTTCCCTCTGTATGTATTGTCAGCTGTACCTGACTTATTTTCAAACAACATTTGGTGTTTCTACCAGAGTTTAGTCCTTGAAAAGAGTACATTGTGGCTAATTGGCAATTGCACATACTGCTGGATGGATACAAGAAAACTTTTGGATATTAACTCTTTTTGGAGTTCAGCACTTTCTTCAAGTAGCCAGGTATTTCTTTGAGCCAACTCAGATGACACCTTTTTGGATGCCAGTGCAACCGACCCCTTCTGTAATTTAATATTCTATTTTTAGTGAATGTAACGGTTGGAGAATATCTATCTATCTGTCATGTTCAGATATTTTTAGAGCACTGATCTTTGTAATGCTGATCAGCACCAAATGTATTACGTAAGATTAGCATCAAAATATATACAATGGAAAGTCAGCTCTGCTGCAGTTGTTCTTAAATTATTTTTAGTATTGCCCGCAAAACTTGTGTAGCTCAGTGCATTGCCCCGCTGTTGTGCTCTGTCTCTACTCTGTAGGAATCATTTTAAAAGATTAATTTATCTTCTCTCAGACCTTTGCAATCACAGGTCTCCTTCCTGAGGCTGCAAATAAGATTGTCAGTCAGTGATACACATTACGAAGGTTTTAATAAATGCCCACTTTCCACCAGGACTGAGACTGAGACAAACAATTTATCTCTCATCATCCTTCAATCCAGTTTATATTTGAATTTGTGATTTGCAGGTGCAAGATTCCAAATTATGCTTTACTTACATCCTCAGCTAATGTTGTGTTCTTTAATGCTGCCCGGGTGGCTTGATTTTTTGCAGTTACTCATGGTGATTTTTTCAATTTTCCACTTTTGGTGGATGCTCAGAATTAATATCTCCTTGTGAAATATATCTAGTCCACTAGCTAACCATTTAGGGTAGGAGTAGATTATTTTGAGTTTAAAGAGGCAGACTGAGAGAACAGAGCATATTCTTTTCACACCACTCTAGAAAATTTATTTTTGTCTTTCAAATTTTCTAAAAAAAAGCTGATCCTTGGAGTGTTTTTAAAAACTAGTTTGTAATTACTGAGGTTTAAAATAGATCTCAACTTTCTGCACATCTATCCCATCATCATAACTATTTGTAGCAGATGAGTTTTGATTTTTTTCTCATTACTTCTTTCTTATGATACATCTGATATATGATAGTCAATAGAAAAAAGTCTGCTGTTTGTTTTTGATGTGTAGTTTTGAAAGTGTAATGCTACCATGCCATGGCTTTACAGATCTTTCACCATCTCTCTTCCTGATATTGCAATTAAATGTGCTCTGATCTTGGTTTATATTATTACTGCTTAAAAATAATCTCTACTTTATTAATGCTTCTCCTTGGTGGTTTGTAAACATTTGTTGCAGTGAAGAGAATGAAGAAAGAAAGACTAGAATGCCAGGTGGAATACAAAACCAACAATTAGTTCAGCTTAAAACATTGAGCTGAGAAAGAGACAGAATCTTTACAAGGAATTTTCATAATGTCATTTGTAGAAGAGAAAGTGTCTGTCATGCTTGATCAGGGCAACGAAGATTTAAATAATCTGTTTTCAGGGAGTTATGGAGACGATAAGCAATATGAAGGCATATTTTTGTGCAGAATCTAAAAGGCTAAATGTATTATAACTTATCCAGGGAACATCTTGGCTTAATCAGTGAAATTATTAAGAAAAGTAGAAATGCAAAGGAGGATGGGATTTAAAAGTTAAAAATATTTCAATGAGAAAACACTTGGATAAGAAGGATCAGTTCTTAGTTTTCTCTGAGTATTCATGGAGATAGGAATTTTTTTTTGAACTTTTTGGTCTATCCTTAGTGTTTGACTAGGAAAAGGCAGAGAGGGGCTGCACTAAACAAGTTCTCCATTGATTTTGCCCCAGTCTGCCTAGTGACAAGAAAAATATCCATAACATATTGCAAAAAAGACAAATGTTGATCTAGGAGGGCTATAATTCTGGTTTCTTCTTAGGGAAATGAAAAAAAATTAAGATCTGATTTATAAAAAAAAGCATTCTTTCAGTTGGCATTAGTCATATGTATTTCAAGAGAAATGTACCTTACAACTCCCAAATCCGTTGTTTTGCCCATTTAATTTAGACAAGTTCCTCAAATGAAATACGCTAGAGTAGCAAGCAAATGGATGTGAGCTGCATCTCTGTTAGGATGTTTATGTGGTTTGGGGCATCTGTGATGTTTTTTTTTCCCACCCATCCTCTTATTTGACATAGCTAAATTTAACAAGCTGAATAATTCAATGAAGTAGGGGAGAATAGGGTGAAGAGGGAGAGAGAAAAGACTTCCTGAAACCAAATTCTTCCAGTGAAGGGATAAAGATGCACTGGAATTCTGGCACCAGATTTAAACTCCAGCAAATTTGTGAGGCCTGAAATTGAAAAAAATTATGAGGCTTGAATTGAAAAGCATGATGAATCCTCATTGTAATGGCATACAGTGAATTTGCGATTACCTTTTTTATTATGTGATCTTATAAGAATTAATCCATGTCTCTTATTAGATGGTGTTACATTGAATTGCGAGCTTTCATTTGCGGGTGAATCATTATTCAGGACATATTCCAGCAATGAGATTTGTCTGACAGTTCCAGGGAAATGTATCTAGTCCTCCTGTCTCAATTTCGAATATTGTGAACTTCGGAGGGAAGTATGAAATCTAATAAGCTCACAGATCATCAGGAACAGTAGTGAAATGACACCTCAGGAAAGGTTTATGTAAATAAAAGGTCAGTTACAATGGTATAAGTAATGTGAAAGATTATATTTTCTCCACTTCTTTTTTGAGATACATGAATTAATTGTATTATACCAGTACCTTGAAGACATGGTATTACTGTCAATGAAAAACTTGTATCCGTGCTATTTAAATGAGAGAACCGAAAAATATGGATTCAGTGTTTGGTACATTAAAGGAATTCATTAATAGATATTTAAATAGAATGTGTGGGAGGCTATTATATAATAAAATAATTTCAGAATAATTACTATTTCACTGTACAGTTATAAAAGCTAAAGATGGCAGTAGGTCTAATTTAAAAATAATCAGAAGTCAGGTAAGGTTTTGTAATTTATTTTTTTTTTGATGGAAAGATGAGAAGAGCTTTGTTGAAACAGTCATTAGGAAGCTACTTATATTGGTCAGAGAATACTTAGAAATGTCTATCTGATAAATCACTTCAAAAAGCATTTAAACTTTTAAAAATGGAATTAAAAATCTAGAGGAGAGAGTTACATGAAATAACTTCATGAAACATTCTCTTCTTTCTCATGTTGTCTTTTGCTGGTTAGATCGTGACTCACATAACAAATGTGTGATTTTTTATTTTTTTTTTTAAGATATACTGGCTAAACTCCAGAAAAAATCATCCAAGCATAAAAGGATGGTTTTAGGAGTACTGTGTACTTCATTTTATCTTGCTAAGAAGGTGGTTAAAAGATTTCTTTATATCTCGTATGTTATTTTGTTTACAGGTAGAAAAAGAGCATGATTGCACAATCCTTACAGTATTTTGTTACATTAAGCTCTGAGTTATTTCATACCAAATTAAATTCTATGATTCAGAAAAGGATTCGGTTAAATGTATGTTGATACGGTAAAGGATTTGGAGTTTTGCAATTTTGGAACAACTGTAATGAGAGTTGGACCGTGTAAAGTTCAGTTATAAACTTCTGCAGGGTGGAAGTATTCTAATCTCAATTAACGCCTGGACATGATACCACAAAAGGCAGATGGCAATTAAATAAGTTGATTGTATTTTTTATAGGTAGGTGAATATCACTCTAACATGTTGGACCCCTCTCATGTGTCTTGGGGATGGATGTCTGCTCTTCACCTCTGGAGATGCATTCTCAGTAGTTGGTTGAAACCAGCAGCTAATGGGATTACATATAAAATATGATTAATCATTCAGTCATTAATTTGGCAAGCATGAAAAATTCAATAAGCTGTTACAGTCAGAGGTATCAGGATCAACACACATTGTCCTTGAAATCCTTCTCAGACTTGGGCTAGCTGGATAATACAAGGAAAATAATTTTCAGAAGTTGAGAAATTATTCCAAGTGTTTCAGGTTTAGGATTCTCTGGGATTCCTTAAAGGAACTGGTTTTATAAGCGCTTTCTGATAGCAGTTGTTTTAAAGCATCTCATTATTTAAGCACCATGAACCATACCCACTTTTGATTACTTGTACAGTGCTTTTCTTCTCAGAGGATTCAAAGACTTGGAGATAAATCCTGTCTTTTCTGTTACAGAGAGCATTTGCTGTTTTTCTTCCATTTCTTTGGCTTTTGAAAATATTAAGGAAGAAAAACCAAACCAAAACAGAAATACCCCTGAGGGAATGGTTCAATGATTGCTGCTTGTTCTAACATGAATAGTAGGAGTATGATGTTCAGTCTTTTTTCCTGGTCAAGGACTTAACAGTCTCTTCAAATTTTTCTTCTTTTTTGTGTTTTATGTAAGATTTTTAATTTCTTCACTATAGAGCTCCTTTTTCTATATTCCTAGAATATTAAATTTTCATTTTTCTGATGAAGCTAAAAAAAAAGTAAAATAGATATTCTGGAAGCTACAAGAATGTCCTGAAGGTGCAATATCAGTGTTATTATGTACATTTTAAATTATTGCCTGAACTCAGAGCTTATTGCTTTCTTTACATCTTGAAATATTTCTTCTTTGCAAAATTAGAAGCCATTCCAAGAACATAAATTCTTACTTCTGATTTATTCTTAAATTTTAGTTAATGTATTTTTTTAAAGCCAAACATTTATTTTAATTCATCCTCATCAGTCAAGGACCTTATTTGCTCTGACACATTCATTCAAATTCTGCACTTGGAACCTCTAAATTATGTCTCTGCTTTTTGCAAATTATCCTTTAAGTAGCTAATATATTAAGTGGCATAGCTAATGGAGTTCAGATTCTTCTGTGTTTTTCTGCTAAATGGTGCTTTTTTTACAAAAAGTAGTGAACTGATCCTACCAAACTTCTGTCTTTCCTAGGTGGAAAGAGATTGTAAAAGCCTCCTTCTGCCATATGGAAAACATTAAACCTAATAGTAAATCATCCCAATTATTTGTAGTTTATGGGAGAAATCCCAGGACCAAGCCCTATTGACGCAGAAATGAATTCTGTGCTTTATAATAAGTTGTTATGATCAGGCAGGAGGCCAAGAACCAGATGGATTGATTGCCTTCTGCCAGAGGTATGGCAATATCAGCTGCCTCTATTAGGAATGTATTTATTGTTGACAGTGTCAGCTTGGCAATTGTAGTTCAGTTTGTGCCATCAAAACATGTTAATCTTGTGATCCTGGAGTTAGATGAAATGCTTTGTGGAAAGGCACTGCTTTAGTCTTATTTTAGAGTCTTCTCCATACTCCTAAATTATGGTGCTGTTTCCTGCTCTAAAGAGAATGCGTTTGCTGAGGCTGTTTTAAAAAAATCAAATAAATGGAGCTTTCCAAAACTGTCTGTAAGGATGCACACAAGACCTTAGTGTGAAACTGAGCTTTTTCATAAAATGTGTAGTCTGTGAAGGGAGTAGTAGCAAACCAGTTCACAAATCAGTGTCTCTTCTGAGCTTCCACTTCTTGAAAGAGGGGAATGTTAGTCACTTTGAAGCATTAAACAAATTATAGGAAAATATGTATCAATAGTCTGAGCTTTTCTATAAGAAAAAGACAAACTTGGTTAGCATTTTTTATAACCCTAGGGAGAACTGATGATTTGATTAATGTCCTAATCTAAATTCTACATTCATTGCTTCATAGTGAAAACAAGATTTTAATCCAAAAGCAGTCTTACCATAGCACGTGTCTCAACATGTGAGATCAAATCCATGCTGTCAAATTTCATGTCTGTTGTTAAGTATTAAACATAGAAAAGTGTAAAATCCAGAGCACTTGATCTCATTATTTCCAAGACATATTTCTAAAGTAGGTCTATGCAAAGGAGTGCAAATACATTTATAGGGTGAGAATGCATCTGACATGATTTCAGGCACTGTTGCTACCTGTATATATCTGTGGTACAGCTTTAGATTCCCTTTATAACTAGTGAAGAGAAGTAGGTCCACACAGGGTGCATTTACTCTCTCCCTAAAGCAGAAGCTTTAAAAAGGTGAATTACTCAACAGAAGTTCTTATTTCTCTGCTTAGTGGTTTCCTGCAGGTGGTCAGGTGAATCATTCCTGAAATTTTCTGTGTTGGGCAATTTATTGACCCAAGATGAGGCACCTGCAGCCTCTGCAGGTGAAGCAGTGTAACCATGTAGATGCATTGACAGATACAAACTAAAAGAAACTTTTTTTCAGAAGGATTTCTGGACTCGGTGAGAGCACAGTGCCAGTCATGGCTTACAGTTTCTCCACCATGTCAGGCTGAAGCAAATTAGATGGCCCTAAGTCAGCTTGTTCTGCTTCATGACACATTCTTTGTGTATTGGCTTCTGGAAGTGTCCTTTTTTGATTAATAAACCACCTAATCTCAATCTACTGCTTAGGCCTCGCAAAATGTTGAATTAGATAAAAAAAACCCCAAAACTCTTCTGTGCAGCTTCCTCCAACTAGTCAGCTGCTGGATTGAACCTGCAAATTACAACCTCCTACTTCAGAGAACACCCTCATATACATGTCAAAACGACAGTATTTTCCAGTGTTTCTTTCTCATTTTAGTTTAGCAGCTGCCCTTTGAGTTTTCTTTAAATGCTGCGTGGGACAGAAGCTCACGTTCACATTTTTTAGGGCACCACAAGACACAGCCTTTGTCCTAGTGCCTGGATGCATGATACAAAGTCCTGGCTAGTATTTGCTGGTGGGACACTTCTCTGCCTCACCCCTCTCTTCCTCATGAGCGTCTCATGTTTGGCAGTGTGATTGTATCTCCTGTTGCCAAAGGGAGCCCACACTGATGTGTCACCCATTGTAGAATTGCTGCTTTCTGGGGAATGGGTGTCAGTGCTCTGCTACTGCCCATGAAATTACTGTAAATAGTAGACAGGTTGGAGGTAAAAGCAGAAACAATTTAACCAACTAAAATGAAGAGCGTAAGAAATCAATTGCTATATTTAAGGCAGAGTGGAACAGTTACAGTCCTTTTTGTTACTGTTCATTCCGATCTGGCTTCAGCATAGCTTCTTTTCCTGTTTTCAGCTAGCAGGCTTAATCCAGTCTAACTCCCAGGGTGACTGACAGCTCCCGGGAGATGAGATCTGGCCTTCAGCTGCGCTTTGTCTTTTACTCGTTTCCCAAAATAGATTCTGATCTGGGATGAAGTCACTCCTGCCCTCCCTGTTTCTGTTGAGCATAAATTTGCCCTCCTGGCCTCCTGCATTTCAGGATATAACTGACTGATTAAAAAGGCATCAGATTTTGTCATCAAAAAGAAGGCTTGTGGACTCTCTCCTTCAGCTGAGAGGATGTTACCAGGTTTCACACTTATTTGACTTAACCTATTTACACAATGCAATCCCCAGTGGTCAGATAACAGAGGAAGAGTTACATTACTACCAGGTTTAACTGCATAACCTGTGTCTAGCACAGAATTTTAAAAGTACTTTCTATATAAAAGAGAGTGATGAATGTGAATCATTGATAGAACCTGGTATGATGGAAGGTAAACGGAGGGAGGTTTTGTGACTGTAGTAAATTGGCCATAAGCGTGGTTTGTGGGAACTCGGGAGATACAGTGATGGCATTTTTCCTAACTGGATGCATGATCTTACAATGGGTATAAGATGTGTCAAGAATTCAGTCTGAGACATTAGAATATTGGAATAATGATAAACTATCTGAAATCCAGATTCATGCCAGTGAGAAAAAGTATGTACGTGAGCCATATTGGATAGAGTGCAAACCTTCTTGCCTCGAGGCAAGGTCTCTGTGGTGACAGCAAGAGAGACTTCTCCTGTAAATGATAGGGTACATGTACCCTATCAATGTAGGTTCCAGGTGTTCCCATGATGGTAGGATGCAGCTACCCATGTAGGTGCCAGGTGTCCCCATGGCACACCTTCAGGAGAAGTGGTCCTAGGAGCCCTGGGCTGCCCAGTTCCAGCTCTACAAGAGTAGAGTTTTTCAGTCCTCTTGGCTTTATACCACTGATTTTAAGGGTTCAACACATCTTAACTGACAAAGTTCAAGTTGATTAGTTTAAGGAAATTTAATATGGTAAACAATTTTAGAAAGATTGGTTGGTTTTAAGGCATTTTTAGATTTTGCCTGTGAAGCTGCTGTGCCCTATTGCTGACTGGAAGAGTTTCTTGTTACTGCAGAAGGATTATGTTTGTACTTGTTAATGGTTTTACTTACCAGTTAAGCTTCTTCACCAGCAGAAGAGACACAGTCTAATGTCTAAGAAAAAGAAATTTCTTTACAATGAACTCTGAGGAACTGAAATTTAAGTGTAATTGGGATGTAAAACTTCGACAGTTTACTAGTGTCTTTTATGTTTAATAGTTGTAAATGTGCAAAAAACTCAAATACAGTACCGTACTTAAAGGTGTGGGGGAAAAAAGATTATTTATGTCTGGGAGGGTGGTCAGCTGGGTGGATGGGTCTTTCTTTGCACAGCTGTTTTGTTATTAATCTGTGAGGCTGTTAAGTGTGAGAAGCAGAATTCTCAAAACAAGTAAGGTCTGTCAAATAGAAATATATGGGAGGAAACAGGGATGTTCATAGCTCACACGGCTGTTCTCATCAGGAAGGCAGGAAGATGCTGAGACAATGATGTATTTGTCAGCTAGTTTAAAGTTATACTTTGATGTCAAATAATTGAAGATACATTGAAAAAGATCTTTCCCTCTGCAAAGGCCTCAGAAACCTATTTATCCTGAAATAACCCCTGAATTTGAAGAAAGGGAAACGAACGGATATTGTCACTATAGTGCTGTGAATAAATTCGAGTTTCTCTGTGCTTGCAAGAACTTGTCTAAATCTTCATTGTTAGCAGTGCTGGGAAATACTAGGTAACTGTGCTTGTGTGGTGTCTGTGTTTATGCTGTGTGGAAGATATGGGAAGTACAGGAATAGTCTTTCACTAGTAAAGATTCTTAAAAAATTTCATATTATGTTTGTTTCTTTTGTTCTTAAACAATTATTATTGTATATTCAGTTTTAGTTTAGGAGCTTTCTGTAGGACCTACACCTGTGTTTAAAGACGCACTCCATAAAGTCTCTTGACCGCTTGTTCGGTGGGTTGAACATATTTTTACTGAGAGATTTTTGGACCTAGGCGTCTTCACAGGTTTCCTGGAGAATAATTCTGTGTTCTGAAATATATATAACTGGTCAGATAATTATATCTCAGTAAAGCCTTCTATTAATAGCTATTCTTGTTTTAATGTTTAGAGGTACTTCTAGAATTCACATAGCCTTTTGTCAATTCTTTGTATTTCTGGAGCTTTCAGTGCACAAGAAAATTTCCATTTGTTTCTCAGTTACAATTTATCATGTTTTAAATTATAAATATATGCTGTGGTATCCTTACGGGACTGTTCCATAGTTAATGGCTATTTATGTATCATCCTGGAATTTAGATTTCTGTGGTAATAATAAAAAATGCATACTTTGAGCAGTTTAAATATGAAGAAATAATTTTTTTATTTTTGCTGAAAGATTCATGGATAGAACTCTCTAATGACAGATCTAGCAGTTTTGGTGCTTGTGGTTCTACTTTTCTGTTGACTTATAAGCCTCTAATGTGTACAAAGTTCTAAGCCATCTATTTGAAAAAAACAGAGCTTTTAAGGAGAGGTTTGAATGGTTGTCAGAAGGACACACTGAGGATATACAGAAAAGTGTACAGTATTATACAGAGAAGCTGCTGCTAGTTTATCATGCATCCTCAAGTAGGTGATTTCACCTGACTCTTAGATTACAAAGTTGAAGCTATGCTGGGACTAGGTATCTCCAGGAGGTCTGGGTCTCAGTGCTGGGGTCTGGGAGCTGAGACAGTCTCTTGTGGTTCTTGTTACTGCTCAGTTTCTTTTATCTAGAGGTGGAAATCCTATGAATCTAGATGAGAGTTAAATGGAAGAATATTGGGTACTGAAGACCTGTGGCTTTCTGCTGTGGTCTAAGTTTAGTCTGGGGTGATGTACTGTTTAAAGAGTTGGTAGTAACAATTTCTGTGATCACTGCAGCTGTCTACTCAAGGAGATGCCAGCCAGGTGATTGGGCCACTCACAGAGGGACAGAGGAGGAACGTGGCTGTAGTTAATTCGCTGTACAAACTGCACCAGTCAGTTCTGAAGGTAGGCTTCTTTTGGTATTCCTCTTCCTGCCATTGTGACAAATAGTCAATATTAGCAGAGTGAAAGATGTGTTTATAGAGAATAATCATGTATCACAGCCATTTCTTTATGAACATAAACAATTGAACTCTTCCTGCTTTTTCTTGTCTTCGTACTGGTCAGCCTGATAGCCCTTGTCTGCGTCTGTCTCAGCCCAAGCTTATATTTTTCAGAAGACCCTCACTGCTTTCCCACAGTTGTGGCTAAACTGAAAAGGTGAAGAAAAGGGTGAAATCAAGAAAAGCGACACCTCTGTACATTATTACTGTGACCAAAGTCTAGCCTGGAAATTTTTCAGGACTAAGCACAGTTATGAATAATTCCAATTTACTGGTTAGTGATGCCAGTGGGTACACAGTCTTTGTAAACTAAAATAAACAGATATATTGATAGTTGCAGTTAATTGTGTTTGAATTCTAACCTGATTAGAAAAAAGATCATGAGTACTCCTGACTCTGGATATGTTTAAAGAATGTTAAAAAATGCTAAAAAGCCCATAAAATTTGCTTTCATTTTGCAAACAGATGGTAGATCAACTTTTAAGTCTGCTTTCTCTGATGTATTTAGTAATGAACCTCATGTGTCTTAGTGTTGGAGGGAGATCTGATATGATTCAATCTTTGAGTTCAGTACTTATCTGGCTTAAAAATACTATTGTATAGCATGTTCATAACTGTAAGAAAATTGGTAGAATATTTCTTCAGATCATTCCTTGACTTTCAATTCTAATATTTTTGTAGCTGTACATAAACAGTTGTTTACAATTGGCAGTATAATAGTTATAATACTGAGAAAGAACAACCATTTTTTCAGTTATTTGCCACAGAGCTGCTTGTATAGTCCTCCCTGAATTCTATACTTAGCAGTGGGAGAATACACCAGTTATTTTTATTCTGATTTTGTTAGCCCTTCAGCTAAATTTTGCCTTAACTCCATTGAATCATTTCCTTGCCAAGGCAGAAGCAGAGTTGATAGGAGATTTGAGAGTGAAGGAGTGATACTGGTGCATTGAAAATTCTGTCTGTATAAAATACATATGAGAGTTACCTCTGCCTATGTAAACCACTCATTACTAGGGATAGCTCAGTATGTTTTGCAATGAAGCTGAATATTATGGATTCTAATAATTTGTTGAATTCTGACTGTTCACAATTACTTTACAATTTTTAGGTCGTTACCAATCAGAGCTCATTTCCAGTAGCCGCTGAGCAAACAATCACAACTGCCTTAAAGGTAATTGAATGTCCATGTTCTGCAGGGATAGGGGTGAGCTTTGCTTTGTTTTTGCATTTAAAATGGGCACTTATTCCCCACTTATTATTTTGTGTCAGTATATTTAGTAACAGGTATACAAATATTCTGACATTTCTAATTTGTTGTATCTGCAGCTACATATGTATTGCATGTGCCAAATCACTGCCTGAGTAGTGCTTGTATTCAGAATATTCTTGTAATGGTCAGAACACAGATGTCATCTTAACTGTGAAAATAAATGTCTCTCTTTCCAGCATTCACACAGCAATTGCTGGATCCTTCATCACCCCCTTCCTCCCCCTGACAGATACATCAAATTATGATTTTTATGCTACCTGGTGCCTTCCTGGAGGGGAATGCAGGTGGCAGTGCAGCCTCTGTGGGTGACAGCTCTCCACATCCGTCCTGCTGGGCGCTGGCCTGGGAGAGGTTGTGTGCAGGGGAATGAGGGGCAGCTTGAATCTGGGGAATTAACAGCTGAATCAAGTGTGTGCACCAAAACATGTATGCCAAATCAAGAATGCCAAAAAGGAAAGCCTTCCTTTTAGAAGGAAGGCTTTACACAGAAGGAGCAGACAGCTTCATTTCTGCACTTTACTTGTAAAATCAATTAAAGAGAAATGTTATGTTAGGCTTTCATCCTTCTATTTAGCATTTTTTAATGCAGAATAATAAAAAGGACTGATAAAACAAACTGTTTCTCAAGGTATTTTTGAGGTGTCAAAATGCAAATGCTTCTAGTTTTGGTTCCTTACTTGTGCTTTTTTTTTTCTATTTTAGGCAGTCCATGATCTAATGGGTAGTGCTGTTCAGCCGTTACTGAACTCAGTGGGAGATTCAGTGGAAGCTATTATCATCACTATGCACCAGGAAGATTTTTCTGGGTAACTAGAAATATCTCTTAAATTTGCCATTGCTCTAGTA